TTAAATAATAGGTAGAGTCACTTGCCTGGGTTGCGGGCTCAGTCCCCAGTGTGGGGCATGCAGGAGGCAGCTGACCAATGATTCTCTCTCATCAACTGATATTTCTATCTCTCTTTCTCTCCCTCTCCCTTCCTCTCTGAAATCAAAAAAAAAATATTTTTTAAGTGAGGGGTGGGACACAGAGGGGGATTAGGGAGCTTGGACGAGCAGGGAGGGCCAGGCTAAGGCCAAGTAGATTTCATCAGGTGACTCAAGCGCCAAACTACAGAAGGCCCACCTTGTACATGCAGGAAGGCTACCAAGCGGAACACATGCTACAGGTCCCAGGAGCTCACCTTCTTTCTGCCCCTCACCCTAAAACCCATTTACCCAGCATTTGAGATAACACATATCAGTCAAGCCATCAGACGTTTCCTGGATGGGCAAGTTGTCGCAGTTCATGCTGTTTGTGAGAAACCTCAGCTGGGGAGCATTTTATTAACATCTGTCACAACCCATCAGCTCAGCCTATGCAGACGTGTATTGCAGTTTTGTGTTAAGAACGAAAGGAAGCAGTCAGTCCCTTTTCTCCCAGCCTCCCTTTCTTCGGTGGCATACAGGTGCTGCCATCATGTGGCCGCAGAGAGCACAGCCATGCCATTCTGGACAGATTCCACAAAAATATCTCCAGATTAGAAAGACGGAAATTTAGTAGAATAAGAAACATAAAGGCAATTCTCGAATTAAACAAAGACCTATGAACGCAGTCCTTAGTTTAATATATTGGCTTAGACCAGTGGTCGGCAAACTCATTAGTCAACAGAGCCAAATATCAACAGTATAACGATTGACATTTCTTTTGAGAGCCAAATTTTTTAAACTTAAACTATATAGGTAGGTACATTGTTATTAACTTCATTAGGGTACTCCTAAGGCTTAGGAAGAGCCACACTCAAGGGGCCAAAGAGCCGCATGTGGCTCGCGAGCCGCAGTTTGCTGACCACTGGCTTAGACGGTGGCTATTTAGAACTCAAGAGACTCTTGAGTTTTGAAAACTCTTCAAAAGAACCTGTAAGTGGTGATGGGCTTTCATAGCTTGTCTACCAACACCTACGTGACCCATACAAACTTCGCATATAGCACTATCCCAGCCCTGCCTCGTGGCCATGTGTAACCAGTCCACCAGCAAAACGTGCAAGGGCTTCCAGCTCAGGGTGGCATGCTGCATCGCCCTGGAGCAAAACTGGCTCCCACTCCTCAATCTGAACAAGTAGCTAATAGATACTGTCAGTGACACAGCTGCAGAGGTGGCCCTTGGGCCGTCAGCACCCTGGGCCCCCAATGAGGCAGACTTCTAGGCACCCCCAACTCTACCTTTGCTAAGGAGAAGGGAGAGGGCTCCTGAGACACTCTACTGTCATTTGTCAGACTTTTTTGAGCACCTCCTCAGTCCCTGACCCTGAGTGCTGGAAACAGAGAACCCTGGAATATGACCCTTGCCCTTCAGGAAGTCACGGGTCAGGGGGAGAAATACACACAGATGCCCAAGCTCACAGGAAAATGTGGTAAGTGCCCTGCGAGAGACGAGGAGAGCGTTATCGAGGGAAGGCTGTGTGCTGAGCCCTTTGTCTTCTAGGCTTTTCTATAGTATGTATGTGCCAGGTGCTATGTTAACTGCTTGCAAACATTAGCCCGTTAGTCGTCGTGTGAGATAGATGCTATGTTGTTCCATTGTTACGGTCTGCAGCCATGAGCTGATGGGAACACGCCGGTCACAACCGCTCTGCGATGTAGGGCCCCTGAGGTTCCCTCGCTTCCCACTGTGATGTGCTGCATCTCGATGCCGCAGCAGCAGAGATGCACGTAGCTGAGACCAGGGGGTGGAGGTGGCTTCCCAGAGGGGATGACTCTGAAGCTGAGTATGAAGTATGAGTTGGAGACATGACTTCTGGGTAGAAGGAAGAGAAAGTGCCAAGACACAAAGCCATTAAGTACCCGATAGAGTCGGGAATTACAGGTGACTCACCAGGACGATAGAGGAGACGCAGGGTGAGTAACAGGAGTGGTGCTAAGTCCCAGCGGGAGTTAGAGAATTATCTTAAGTGCAAAGTCGTTGGATTTGAAGATGGTTCGGTGGGAGGTCAGGTCATTAGACAGACAAATTAGGAGGCTATCACAATAACCAAGGCAACGAATCCCAACTAAGGTATGCACCCTTGGGATAGAGAAGGAAAACTACATTGGACATATATTCATTGGTACAGATGAGGGTGCTCCTTGTTCACTAATCCAGGGCATCCCCCGACCCCCTCTGCAGGGTAAAGCTCAACCCCTTTAGGCCCGTGGTCGGCAAACTGCGGCTCGAGAGCCACATGCAGCTCTTTGGCCCCTTGAGTGTGGCTCTTCCTAAGCCTTAGGAGTACCCTAATTAAGTTAATAACAATGTACCTACCTATATAGTTTAAGTTTAAAAAATTTGGCTCTCAAAAGAAATTTCAATCGTCGTACTGCTGATATTTGGCTCTGTTGACTAATGAGTTTGCCGACCACTGCTTTAGGCTAACAAAGAAGACCCTGCTCTATCAGACAGAGCTTGTCTCTCAGCAGGTGCTTCCCCAGGTGGGCAGGTGGCCCCATGCACAGCCTGCTCACCGTCCCCTCACAGGCTGTGTGCACGGCTCCTCTGTGCCTGTGAAAAGACTGTTTCCTGTGCCTCTCAGATGCCCTCTTCTTTGGCAAACCTACTCATCATTCAAAACCCCTCTCAGATGTCAACTCTTTGACTTAGCCATTGATTGAGCATCTTTCAGTTGACATCCTCTTGGTATGAGATGCAGGGGTGATACACAAGAGGAGTTGGGGTGGCCCCCCAACATGGCTTCAACTCCAGGATCCCTCCTCCTGTCAACTCGCTCCATTTCACATCCATACCCTACACTAGTGTGTGTATGAGTCACCTGAGAACACAGGTCCAGATTCAGTGGTTCCGGGGTGGGGCCTGAAATTTTGTGTTTCTAGCAAGATCCCAGGTGATGCTGGTCCTGCTGGTCTGCAGACTGCATTTGTACATTTTCTCAGTGTCGTCTGATGAAAAAGCAATAAAGGCAATTATTTTTGTTTTTCTGCACTGAACTCTTTATTAAGGTAGACTTTATACACAGTGAAGTGCACAGAATTAAATTTAAATTCAATGAGTTTTGGCAAATGTACACACCCCTGTGGCCTACACCTCAATCAAGAACACTCGCAACATTTCCAGAAAGTCCGCTTGTTCCCCTTTCCACTGAATCCTCCAAGTGAAGATGGTTCTATAGGGACCCAGTGTGATTCAGTTCAAGGAAATAGCTTTCTGATTCAGGAGGCTTCATCACAGGATCAATTCAAAGAGGAAAAGGGAAAACGGAACATCTTTCGGGCAATCCTACATAAAGAATATAAACTTCTGATCTGACAATGATTGAAGCTATTATCTTATGATAATTTATTTGTTCATTTTTTATTGATATGGTTTTTATTGAGTTTTAGAGAGAGAGAGAGGCAGGGAGAGGAATAGAGAGATAGAAACATCAATGAGAGAGAAACATCATCGATAGGCTGCCTCCTGCCTGCCCCCCACCCCCCAACTGGGGATCGAGCCCACAATCCAGGTTTGTGCCCTGAGGGAATCGAACCAGTGACCTCTCGGTTCCTTGGTCGACGCTCCACCACTGAGCCACACCAGACAGGCTATTTGTTCTTTTTTAAAAAAATAAATAAATAAATAACGCCACGTGCCTGGCCCTGTGCTTTGCATGGAATAGCAAGGTGAACGAACATGTTGGCCCTGTGCTCAGGGAGTTAGCTCACGGCTAGCAGGAGGAACCGACAGGGAACCTGCAGCCCCTGAGAGAGCGAATTCTGGGATGTAGGGCATTCCTGGCCGAGGCGAGGAAGGCTGGGGGGCATGAGATGAAGTACATGAGTCACTCGTGAATCTCATATTTTACACATCACACTCTTGCACAACACTTCACAAAACGTCCCTTACAGTTTCTCATCTTACCTCCGCTTCAGCCCTGTGACAAGGCAGGTACGGCTACCATCATGCACCACTGAATGACAGGAATGCGGTGTGAGAAATGCATCATTCAGCGATTTCATGGTTGTGTGAACACCATAGAGTGCACTTACACAAACCTAGATGGTCTATAGCCCACTGCACACCCAGGCTCTACGGTACAGCCTATTGCTCCTAGACTATAAGCCTGTACAGTATATTCCTGTACAAAACATGAGAAAATGATGCAACCATGAGATGCGGTGAAAACAAAATGTGTGAGGCTGCTCCTGGGGTAGCACGGCATACGGTTCTACAGCAAACTTTTTTTTACAAGTAGAAAGAGCACACTCCACAATAACGATGAAAAGTATTGTACAGTAAATACATGAATCTGTAACATAGCCGTTTATTATCATCATCAGTATTATGTACCATACATAATTGTACATGCTGCTCTTTTATACGACTGGCAGCTCAGGTTTGTTTATGCCAGCAGGAGTAACATAGGGTGTACTGTGACATTACCATGGCTACCACGTCGCTAGGTGATAGGAATTTTTCAGCTCCATTATCATCCTATAGACCACCGTAACATATGCGGTCCGTTGTTGACCAGAACGTCATTATGTGGCACGTGACTATCTTCCCCTTGTAAAGCTATGAACACCGAGGCTGGGAGAGGTTGTCTCAAGGTCACGCACTCAGTTGCGAAGTGAGGCCTCCAGCTCCCTGAAAGTGCCCGTGCGTGTTGAGGCCAGCTGGGTGGCAGGACTCTCCCGGGAGCCCTGGCACTGGCCCCTGCATGAGCATCTGGCCTGGCCGACAGGAGCAGACCCCTGTGCCCGTGACGACCCCCCGCCTCCTGGGAGGTGGACCTCAGCCGGCACTGTCCCTTCTGAAGAGTGTCTTTCCTGCATCCCTGTGGGAGGGTCTCCACCGGAGGCTGTTCTAATTGCCGCCCACCCTCCCCTGTGTTTCAGCATCTTGCCTCCCGCTCCTGCACCATGAAAACCCTGCTTTGTGACCTCCTGCTGCTCAGCCTCTTCTCCAGCGTGTCCAGCAGCTGTCAGCAGGACTGTCTGACCTGCAGAGAGAAGCTCCGCCCAGCTCTCGACAGCTTCGACCTCGAGGTAGGCTGTCTCCTCCTCCCCAGCTCCTCCAGAGCTGACCCTGAAGGAGAAACTGAGGCCTCGCCCCAGGGTCACGTGACTTGCCCCGTGTCATGTGGTTATAGGGCAGTGATGGCGAACCTATGACACGCGTGTCAGAGGTGACACGAGAACTCATTTTTTTGGTTGATTTTTCTTTGTTAAATGGCATTTAAATATATAAAATAAATATCAAAAATATAAGTCTTTGTTTTACTATGGTTGCAAATATAAAAAAATTTCTATATGTGACATGGCACCAGAGTTAAGTTAGGGTTTTTCAAAATGCTGACACGCCGAGCTCAAAAGGTTCGCCATCACTGTTGTAGGGGAACAGAAACAGATGTGAGCATCTTCCCAGGGCAAACCAAATGCATAAATCTGTAACATATTTATGTTCACTTCACCACATTCAAATAAAGGCCTGCCCACACTGCAATTTTGTTCCGTCATTAGAATAGTGCATGCTCATGTTAGAGAGTTTGGCAAATTAGAGAAGTTTTAAAAAACAGAATTGAAATCACATTTAATCGCACCAGTCAGAGAAAGAATCCTAGTGTTTTCTCTTGCCATATTATGCCAGGATAATTTCCCCGAGTTACTAAACATTAAGTTATTTCTCTCTGTGAATACAGTAGAACTTGTTTAAGCATCCCCCCCACCCCCACCCCGAGTTAAACATGCTTGCTGACCTCCATTGTTAATATAACAGATAATTCTACAAATAATCACCTAAAATGCTCTATTTTAAATTTTGCATTTGAAGTGCAAATCTGACATTAAATTTCTTTTTATTAAATAAGCTGCTTTCTCCACTGCCTTTTTTATTGTTGTTGTTAATCCTCACCCAAGGATATTTTTCCCATTGATTTTTAGAGAGAGTGGAGGGTGATGGAGGCGGGTTGGGGCGGG